AAATCATATTTAAAATCAATACATAATTAAAATTATTCTGTTAATTATTATCTCTTTCTCTAGAAAATACTCTCTCTATTAAAAAAAATCTTTTTGCTTCTTTCTCTTTTCTCCTTTCTCTTTCAAAGTATTAGAGTGTTTGAATTTTTGAAGTATTTTCTTTTGCGAAATTTATTGTTGAAAATATAATTGAGTCTGAATTGCTTCGGCAGTCAAAATTTTTTTTAGTAAATACTTTTCACAATTCTCGATATTCTCAAATGAAAGGAGGAAAGAATTTTAGAATATTTATTTGTAAAATTTCTATTATTCTGAATTATTCTCAAAATATTACAATAAATATTATTCAATTAAATTTCCTCCTAAACTTTCAAATTTAATGCTAGTGATTTTCGGTTTTATTCCTTTCCGGTTTTATCTCTTATTGGGTAAAAAAAAAGGAATAATAGGTTACTCTAATTCAATTCTATCCAATTCTCTATCGAATGAAATATGTTGTAAAGAGTATACTCATTACATATATATATAAAAAAAAATTTTTTTTTGAATAATATAATCTAATAACAATGTGATATTAAGGCTTGGATATACCTGTGCCTTTGGAATTTTTCTGGTTAATTTAGTTGTTTTGGTCAAATTACTTATCTGCTTCGGCAAGTTCAACTGGTGCTTAGGCAAAAAAGAAATTAGAAAAAGGTAGTTAAAAACTTAAAAAAATATATATAACAGGTCTAAAAATAACTTATAAACTTATAAATAATAATAACTTATAAATAATAATAACTTTAAAAAAAATAAAATAAATAACTTATAAATATTAAAAATTAAAATGGAAAATGTGGATATAAATGTAGTAGATAAAAAATTATTTGAAGGCAAGATTCTAAGCAGTCAAGCAAAAATAGGTGATATTTCAAAAGTATATGAAGATTTAATATTATTAGAAGATGGAGTTAATAGAAACCTAAGGGCAACAAATAGGAACATCACACAGTTAGAAAATAATTTAAAGGGGATTGAAGATGGAACAAATGCAGGCTTTGAAGAGGTAGCAAAAAGAATTGATAAAGTAGGCGAAGATGTTAATATATTAGATGAAAAAGTAGAAAGTATAAGAACTGAGTTTCAGGACAGGGACAATTTAGAGTTTGATGAGTTAAGGAGCAGTGGAGCGGCCAATCTTTTAAGAGCTTCTAGTCGACCCGCAGTTATTCCACCACCACCACCCAAGCATAACTCCCAAAATGCGAGCACTAGTAATAGTAATAATATACCGACATCATCCTTAGGGAAGAAAGCAAATAATAATTTAAATGAAAACACTAATAAGCAAGGTAATGGTCAAGAATTAAATGTTTTGAATGAAATTGGGACGTCTGGTCCACAACTAAATGTGTTTACAGGTCAAGTTGCATCTGCTTTTGATGAATGGGCAATAAGATTTAGAGATTATGTTGAAGTATTTGGTAGTACTTGGAGTGAAATGGAAAAGTTAAACAGACTTAAGTTATATTTAGGAGCGCAAGCAAGACAGATTTTTGAAAATTTATTAGTTACTGAAAGGAACACCCTAGCAAACGCATTAATGAATATTAGAGCAAAACTTGACAGCCCGCACTTCCGAGAGCTAGCTTACAAAAGATTAGCAGCGTGTTACCAGCGGGAAGGGGAGTCAGTGAGTGAATTTATTAAAAGATTAGTACCACTTGTTAATACAACTTCATCGCATGCACCAAATGATGTAAGGGAAGAAACACTTTGTAGATGTTTTATGGAAAAGGTCAGACCTGAATTTCAAAGGTCATTGCAATTAGTTGGGCCACTGATTGGAAGGAAAGATTTTGATAAATTAACAGCATACGTGCAAGAATTAGAAGTCGCTAGTGAAAGGGAAGTTCGCGCGGATATAGGCATACATGCCATAGCTGACCAAGCGCAACCCAATCAAATTCCCCGTGGACGGTTCACAACCTGGAAACCAATAAATCCAAACAGTACCCATTAGGACAAAGGGTGAACTATAACAATGGTAGATATGCTTCGGCAAGTAATGAATTTAGACAAAGAAATAGATGGCAGCCTAGTAACCAATGGCGGCCACAAAATGATCGCAGATGGAACAATCGTCCATTTTGCCACTACTGCAAGCGTACAGGGCATGAACAGTATAATTGTAGGGAACGCCAGTTTAACGCTAATAGGTCATTTAATAATAGAAATCAAGGCAGGAAAAATGTAGAGAGCAATGAAATTGAGAATTTGAAAAATCAAAATCAAGAAATGAAAGAAATAATAGATAATTTAACAGTACAAGTACATGAAATAAAAATGAATAGAAATTATGTACCATCTAATCAAAATATAAGATCCCTTCAGCCTATTAAAGTTACTGAAACTACCGAGTCTGAAAAACATGAAACTAAACATAAGAAAGCAGAGCCCAAGAAAATAGAAAGTTGGGAAAATAGTGGACGCAGAACAAGAATCCCTTCATTATTAGGCACCTCTCTAATGCTAATGGCAATACTAAGTACTGCTATGGGACTTAATCCGGCTTTAGTTCCGAAAACTCCAATGATATGCCAGACGCAGAAGCAAGAAATGATTTGGCAGTTACCTGAAATAATGTTTTGTCCTTCAATTAGCATTTATAAAAAGTATACACCTGCAATTGAAGACAGGAAAATATACATTCCCAATAGCATTGAATTCTCCACTAAAGCCTGGGCATGCAGAAAAATTAAGAAAAATGCGCGCAAGTACACAACGATCACTGGTATTCCAATTGAAGAGAAATTAGATCATGAAGAGTTAGACATATCATTAGAAGAGTGTAACCAAATGATCAAGCACCGCAGTTGCAATCTAGGCATTCTAAAACAAAAATCTGACTTATGGCAAACTGAAAATAAGATTGATTTGACACCTAACTTGGTTTTTGGGGTCTTTCGGGTGGAAAAATATCTCAAGTAAAAACTGTTTCCTGTTTGAAAGTCGAATTGATTCTCACTTCGGTGCGTCAGAAATTGTAACTCCATTAGGAATAGCACATGAGTGTCCTTATGATAAAGGACATTGTATACTGAAAGATAAAACAGTACTTGTATGGGAAGTAAGTAACGAAAGGAAATGTAACTTTATTCATATAGGGGATAAAAAGGGACAATGCATGAGCAAGGCTTGGCTTTCTGAGGATGGAAGATTAGCTCTTACCTTTGAAAATGCAACTACTGTAAATGATTGTGGAAAGAATATTGTAGTTTCTGATCAGGGTCTTGGTTCTATTGTAATTAATGTAACCGATATATCAAGGAAAAAGAGACATGCCTATGATAAGCCCCGAAAGTATTATGGGGATGGTGTTGTCACATCCTCGCAGCTTGCGTCGCAGCTCACATACCTGGAAACTGAAATGTCAAAAACAATGAACTTTGCATTTTACCAGTCATTGCGTTCATTTTGTGAATTGCTTGAGGTAATTAAGCGTTGGACCGAAGCCACGTATATGAGTAACCCAACAGAATTAGCAAGGTCGATGTTTTCTAATCCGTACCTTGTTGCTAAAAGGTCTGGTATGTCACTTATGAAAGTTTGGCCATGTGTACCTTTAGAAAAATCAGACTATGAATTCCGCCCAACAAAAATGAATGAATGCTTTGAATTTATTCCTATAACGCTTAGGACTGAAAGTAAAGAACACTTAGCATTCTTGGATCCCACAACTATGATTATCTCACCCTCATCTAGGAAAAGTCCCTGTCATGAGTCTAGAAATATAGTAGTACAGATCAATGATCAAATTTTAGAAATAGACCAGATTGAAGGGAAAATTACTTCGGTAAGACCAAATGTGTTAAAAATTCATGAACTGAAATTGAACCTGACCGAATTAATTCCGAAAATTGAATCGCATGCTTTTCATCAGTTAGTTCTTCTGAATATGACTGACATTAAGGATCATGCATTTGTGAGCAATATGGTGAGAACAAGTCAAATCACATACCGAATAAAAGAAAAAGAGACTGGTATTACGACATCTGTATCCCAAGAATGGGAAGAAGTTGAAAATCAACTTGTGAGAGGAGTAATAGGTGATTACAAGCAAATTTGGGCTATAATAATTTCTGTAATTGTTATAATTCTAGCTATTGATTTAAGCATAAGGCTGTTAATGGTTTTAGCTGAAATGTATGCGGGGAATGGTCGCTTAGGCAAGCTTATATTTGGGACTAAAATTGAAAAACCCACTAAAAGAATTATGGAAATTAAGCGAATTAACGAACCAAGAATAGAAGAAGATGCCATTTACGAGGAACCAGTTGTAAACAGGTTATCCGTATCTTGGCCACCCACAGTTCGAAATGCAATAGATTCTGGAGTACCTCATAGGTCTCCACTTAACATAGGATCAGTTGGAAGAAGAGGTTTTATTGGAGCGCTGGGACCAAATGCAGCGACAGTAATAGTTGATGTAAGCTTGAATGATATGCCTTTAAGATGTCTTGTAGACACAGGGGCAATCACCTCGGTAGCCAATATAGCCCTAGCAGACCGCATAGGAGCTCAAGTATTTCAAGTTGAAACATTTTTACAAAGCGCATCTGAACATCCTATGTGCGCCAGACAGGCAATGAAAGCGCAACTTGGCATTGCAGGGGCAGGGGCTGAAATAATCATAAATCTTTTTAATGATAAGTTTCACTGGCACAAACATGATTATCATTTTATTCTTGGATGTGATGCTTTGGCTCAGCTACCACCCATCCATTTGGATTTAAGAAATAAAAGCTTAATAATTAAAGGAAATCTTTTAAAACTTGATAATAAAATAGAAGGTAAACTAAGGGATATCAAGGTTCGAGCACTAGCGACATACGAATTAAGACCAAATGAACAGTGCCTAATCAAAGGTAAAGTCCAATTCCCAGAACTGCTTCGGCAAGACATAATGTTTCACACAATAGACCAAAAACTTTCAGATGAAGGGTTAAGTTTTGTTCCAATAGTCACAAATCCAAAATCAGGAATAGTACCTGTGATTATATCGAACCCCACGGGAGAAGTAAAAAGAGTTTTCAAGGGCAAAGGCCTGGGTTTAGTGAATGAAATTTATGAGACAAGTCATGAAAAGGTACTTTCTGAAATTGAAAAAGAAGAGTCTGAAGGAAAAGAGCAAGAATTAAATTCCTTAGGGAAGTCCAAAGTAATTATTGATCCAAGTTTTAAAATTGATTTTACTAAGTCGTCAGTAAAAAATGAGGAGTTAAAGAAATTAAAAGAATTGTGTGAAGAGTTTGGTGATGTTTTTAGTAAAAGCCAATATGACTTAGGTAATTGCACCGCAGGCGAACATGACATAGTGACCACGTCTGAAGAACCAGTAACCTCAAGACCCCACAGGGTACCTTTCAAATACAGAGATGAATTACAAAAGCATATCGATCAGCTTTTAGCTTCAGGGGTCATGATCGAGTCAGACACCCCATGGGTATCAAACATAGTACTAGTTCAGAAAAAGGATGGAGGGCTTCGGCCATGCATTGACTTTAGAAAATTAAACGAAATTACAGTACCTGACCATTTTCCGTTGCCCAGACTTGAAACGATTTTGGAACGTGTAGGAAATTGCAGATATTATACATCTTTAGATTTAGCTAGTGGCTATCTGCAAATTAAGCTAAGTGAAAGAGCATCAAGAAAATGCGGAGTCATTACTGAAGACAATGTCTATCAAATGGTCAATCTCCCTTTTGGACTTAAAAATGCCACAAGTGCATTTGCAAGAGTCATGGCGCATGTATTGACAGGTCTTGAAAATGTTCTTGCTTATGTGGATGATATTCTTATTTATAAAAAATCCGAAAATTTTGATGAACACCTAACGGCATTAAGAAGTGTATTTGAAAGATTCAGAAGATTTAATTTGAAACTTAGCCCCAAGAAATGTATTTTTGCTTCGGCAAGTATGGAATTCCTAGGATTTATTGTAAGTGAGTCAGGCTATACACCTAGCTTGAGAAAAATTGAAACAATTTTGAATTTAAAAATCCCAACTTCGGTCAAGGAAGTTAGGCAAGTAGTTGGAATGGCAAGTTTCTTTAGGAAGCATGTCCCGAATTTTTCAACAATAGTAGAACCTTTAACCAGACTAACAAGAAAGGAAAGACCATTCAGTTGGGGAAAAGAGCAACAAGAAGCCTTCGAAATAGTTAAGAAAATATTATCTGAAAAACCTGTGTTGACATTTCCTGATTACACAAAACCATTTCACATATTTTGTGATGCCTCTTCAGTAGGTCAAGGAGGAGCGTTAATGCAATGGGATGAAGAAAAGAAGGTTTATAGTGTAATATGTTATTGCAGTAGGACGCTGTCAAGTTCTGAAAGAAATTGGCCACCTGTTCAAGTTGAATTAGGTGCAATTATTTACGCGCTTCGGCAATTCAAACCTTTTATTTTTATGTCTAGTATAGAGCTGCACACTGACCATAAGCCATTGGCATTTCTTTTGAAAAAGGCTGAGACTCATCAAAATTTAGCTAGATGGTTAGTAGAACTGCAGAATTATAATATAAAAATAGTTCATATAGCTGGTAAACAAAATTCGCTAGCTGATGCTTTGTCTAGGATCCCCCATGAAGATTTAAGTCCGGAAGTAATTGAGAAATTAGAAGAATTAGAAGATATTGCTGAATTCCCTGTTTGTTTAGCAATCAATAAGAAACCATTTGTTGTTCATGAAAAGTTTGGATTAACTATGTCAATAAGGTCTATGGAAGGGAACATCCACCAAATTGATATTAGGAAAGAACAAAGTGAAGATCCTGAGGCTTCAATTTTAATAGACTTTCTCAAATCCGGAAATTTCCCTGAGGACATTTCTGAAGAAGAAAAGAATAGCTTCTCAAGATTAGCCAAAGACTTGTGTTTAGAGTCAGGGGTATTATATTTCCACCACAAGCATTCGAAACCAAGGATTTATGTCCCTGTTTCGCTAAGAGCTATGATATTTGATTCCTTTCACACAACTAAATTAGGGGGAGGACACATGGACTTCAACAAAACGTTAAAGAAATGTTTAAAATATTTTTGGCCTCGTATGCACGCAGATATTGTCACGTGGCATAAGCAATGCATTACCTGTCAGCTTCGGCATTCTCCAAATCCACCTTACAGAGCAGAAATGTGCACGCCTCCAGTTAATACGCTTTTTGCAAAAGTCGGCCTAGATTTAGCTGGTCCCTTTCCTAAAACGCAAAATGGAAACAAGCACATTCTAAACATAGTTTGCTGGTTCACGAAGTTTGTTATTTCTGTTCCAATACCAGATGCAAAGGCATCTACTTTCGCTTCGGCATTTCTGAAAAATTGTTATTTGAAATTTGGTGGTTGTACTGAATTAATCACTGATAATGCGACTGCTTTTACCTCAGAATTTTTCAAAAGCTTTTGTGCAATGCTATACATAAATAAAACTTATGCTGTACCGCACTGGAGTCAAGGCAATGCAGTAACAGAAAGGTCATTCAGGACGTTCCATAACATCCTAGCAAAATACATCAATAAGGATCAGCCAGACTTTGATGAGCATTTAGAATTTGCAAACTTCTGCTATAACACTTCGGTTAATTATTCAACGAATGAAACGCCTTTCTTTCTCATGTATGGTAGAGATCCTATTTTCTGTGTAGATTTAATCCTGGATCCGAAAGTGCGAGAACCAGTAGCATTGAATGATGAAGCTGAGATAAAACAAAAATTAATTGTTTCGCTTAGGCAAGCCTGGAAATACGCAGCAGAATCCAATAGGGAAGCGCAGCTAAGAGCTAAAACGCAGTACGATAAGTTAATAAGAAATCCAACAATAACAATAGGTGGTCGCGTACTTCTGAGAAATTATACGGGCAAAGTTGGTACATCTAAGAAGTTTCATCTTCCTTGGAAAGGTGTTTTCCGTGTTATAGGAATAGATGGAGTAAAAGTAACTATAATAAGTTGTAATTCTCCTCAGTCGAATCCTAGGATAGTTCACATCAATCAATTGAAGAAATGCGTTGAACCACTTAATTTTGAACCTGCTTGCACAAATCCTAATTTGGATCAAGAAGAATCTGATGCATTGGTCGAAGTGAATGCAGAAGAGCTTATTGACGAACCTGGATATTCGCACAACTTTGATAATAATGTAGAAAAAGTTCATGATAAAGTGTCAGAAGAGTTAGGAAGGCAAGGAATAACGAAATACAATCTAAGGAAGAATCCAAAACAGAAAATCTTAATTTTAAATGCTTCGGCAAGAATGAAATAAATAAAATTTTAATATAAAATTAAATACTAATATAAAATTAAATATCTAATTACATAGATGTCAGCTGAAATTACACCTTTTTTTACGAAAAAATACGTATTCAGCAATCATTATGGCTGCCATTTTGAAATTGACAATATTACTTATTTATGCGTTGAGCAGTTTTACATGAGGTACAAAGCATTGGTTTTCGGCGATTTTGAGAGTGTAGAAAAGATAATGGAGGCAAAGGATGCTGGCGCAATTAAGCGTATTGGATCAAAAATTAAAGATTTTAATCATCATATCTGGAGAAAATTATGCATCATTGTTATGGTTATTGGAAATCTGGCTAAATATAGGCAAAATGGAAATATTAGAAAAATGTTACTTGAAACTGGAAATACACTCCTTGTAGAGGCCTCGCCTTTCGACACTTACTGGGGAGTAGGGGTCGGACTTGGTGGTGTGTACAATAGAAGGAACTGGAGAGGTTTGAATGTCCTAGGAAGGATACTCACCAGAATCAGAGATAATTTAAAAAGTTAGTCTAAAATATAATATTGATAAAATTTATTTGGTAATTTAAATTTAAAAAAAAATCTAAAATATAAAATATAATAATTTAAACTAATAAATAGAGTAGCACAAAATCGTTTAATTCTGAAAAAACCGTATACCGTTTATGCCGTTTATCTGAGACCCGTATACCGTTCCTTTAATTTTACCAAAAACTAACCAAAATTCTTTAAGTGATGGAAGTTCAAACTCCCTACTTGGACATCAACAGTACCATTGAGTTCCCTCCACTGGGCCAACAACAACAACAATCAACTTCTAATAATGTGAGTAATAATAATGCTTCGGCAAGTAAGACTGTTGAAATGGAGATAGATAGTGGTGTTCCTCCAGTTGTGAATTGTCGCGTCGATGATGATTATGATTTTGATAAAAATGTCGTGTCGTTTTTGGTTTGTCAAGTCGAAAAGAATTCGGTCATCGGCGGTCGTCTTCGTGTTATGACTAATAAAAGCTGGCCACATTTCGTCACTATTAAAAATAAAACGGTCGAAGAAAGTCCTCACTTTACTAAGAAATTGCAATTGGGAGATATTGTTTATGTCAGCAGGGTTGAATGGAAAGAAGGTTATCGATTTTTAGTCCACCATGATAGCGAAACAGGGGAAAATAGAAAGAAATGGTTCGTACAAAAAATCAATACTCAGGCAATTGTCTTGGATATTGAATTTATTGAGTATGCCGACTGGATTGAAACACCTGGTATTGTCATCCGTATTAGAGATCAGGTTACTGGTGGACTAAAAGGACGTGTGCGTTTATAATTTCCTCCGGATTGCAAGTCTCCTCGAGATGCTATCGTAGACAAATGTCTGATTTGGATCTTGACGAACTACAAGAAGGTCAATTAGTCACAGTTTGTACAACGACTCTTCCTCAAGCTTGCTATGTTGACAATGCGTATATTCTTCCACCAGAATCTGAATTTAAATTGGGGTCTGAAGAAATAATTTTTGAAGAGTTTGGAGCTTTAGCTTGTATAAAGAAACATGCACCGTGGCCCTACACTAGAAATGGTAAAAATGTTTTCTACCCGATTCTGCCTGAAATGACTTATGAAGAAATTGAACTTTGTGAGAAGGTTATGTCTGCGGCGATAGGGTTCTCGTATGAAGATAAGAAAAATAAAATTATTGAAAGTCGGTTTGAAGGTCCTGCACAATATTTCGACCAATTATTCCACCTTCGTTTCAAGGACATTGACAATCTAAAGGTAAAGAAGCTAAAAGAAGTATGGACAGAAGAGGACCAAGTTTATCTGAAGTCCAGTCTTCATCTTCCTCATTTTGCGATTGGGGTTATAAGAAGAATTGAAGTAAATGAAGTATACTCCTTAGGGAAGAAAAAATTTGATTTCTGTGTTGTAGTGAAGGTAGTGAATATACAATACAGAAAAAAGCGAAATGTTGAAGATGAATTGGAAATGGCAGAGGAAGGGGGATTTGTGGTTGTGTATCCGTGTATATTTAAAGGTCTTGAAAGCAGAAGAGGGTGTTTTATGGGAAATCTTCCCTCTTATTTAGCCAGGCAGGATACAAACCAAGGAAAATTAATGAATGTTCTTCTGGGGAGAGAAATTGAACCTGAAGATGAAATTGAGGTTGATGCTTCGGCAAGACAGAATCCACTGATGCGGTTATTGAATGAGAGGCAGAAAGACACTGCTAGAATGCTTCTTGGGGATGGGTGTAAGTTGGTTTACCAACAAGCACCTCCTGGTGTTGGGAAAACCTATGTAGCCTCGATAGTTGTTGCGCTTATCTTGGCATTGTTTAAAAACATGAAAGTTGCAGTCATAACATCGGCGAATCTTCCTTTGGCTAAGCTTGTAAATGAGCTTGAGCAGATATTAGGTGGCGATGAAATGGAATCCTCCAGCGCGGTTGCGTTTTTTTCCGGATATGCCAAAGACAAATATAGAGAATTGCTCGCGAATCTCCGACGACACATGCTGGTAACTAAATTAAAATTGGAAGAAATTGAAGAAAAATTAATGAAGTCTGATGAAAAGGATATTGATGAATACTGCACAAATTTTGAGAGCAGGCCTAAATTGACCAGGGAAAAAAGAATGGCGTCGTTGTTGTCTGAAGTTTCTGATCTCCGAATTGTATTTGCTACGTCCACAATGGCAGAAGACATGTTTAATACATCTCTTCGTGGTGTCTCTGCAATGATTTT